ATATATATATATATATATATATCATAATAAAGAGTTTTATACAATAAACAGAAAAATAACAGCTTAATTAGCAGCTCATTTTGTTTTCTTTCTTAAAATTAATTATTCCAACCATTGGGAACTAATCTGCCTTAAGATATGAACATATTTTTCACTAAGTCACAACAACTACAACAATCCTACTGTAATCCCACAAGTGGAGTCTGGGGAGAGTTAGTGTTCTGTTTTCGAGGCTCAAGGAAAGCAATACCCAAAAAAAATTGACATTTACCTTTCTGGTTGCCATCTCCGAACAAAACAACAGAATCAGTAGAAGGAAGAATGTGGCCAATTTGATAAAGACCACCGAGGAAGTAACCAGCAAAGCAGTTAGCAGAGACATAAGTGTAAGGAATGTGAGCTTTATATACTAGGATCGTGGCAAAAATCTCTGTACAGTTTTATATATTTGTTAATCCCAAATGAAAATTGTCTTGGCAATGATTAAAATTGCCGAATCTCAAATACATCCAGTTTATGTGAACCTATTTCCTTTTTAGTCTGTTCCAAAAAGAATGACCCCTTTCTAAATTTGATAACAATTTAGCTTAAACTTACAATTCTTATAACCATACAAATACTCTGGGTCCTTTTTGACTTGTTTAGGATCACAAATTCTAAAAGTCTACATTTTTTCTCAATCAAAAAGGTTTACATAAATTGGAACTGAGGGAGTATATAACTATGAATATGTAATCAGTTTGGATGAATAAGTGCTATTTTATATACCTTGATATTTCCAGCTTCTTTGATGGCATCCACAAGCTTGAGCTGAAGTAAGATATGATGGCTACGAATGTGGACGCCGGAGATGGCACAAATGACAACATCGACGAGTTTAACGGCGTCGACGAGGCTCCGATGATCGTTAAAAGAAGCAGAAACAAGATGAGCTCCTTGCATCTTAAAAGAAATAAGCATTTCAACTTTCTCAATATCAACTCCTATTTCTGGACGATGCAAAATATAGGTTTCATTACCATTTGCTAAACTAGCTTTCACTAATCTCTTCCCAAGGTACCCTGTTCCTCCTACAATCAACACTTTGCTTTTTCCCATCTCAATATATATATATATATATATTAATTTCTTCTTCTTTTGTTAATGTATTGTTATATATGATAATTCATTGCCTATTTATAGAATGGATCTTCTTTCTATTAATTTTGTTTTATTTCCTTGTGTTGTGGGTTTTTTGTCTTGGAGTACAAGGTTTTCTTTTGTTCTAGATTTTACTCCTTTTTTTTGGGAAATTAAAATTATATTTTACTATTTTCTTCTGAAACTGAGACCATTTTAATGGGAAATTAAAATTATATTTTAATGGAGGTAAACTCCCAGCTAGAAAACATTTTCTATTCTCAAGACCTTTTAATTAAGTGTGGCAAGATCCTATCCTTCCCACCATAATCCTGGGTGTTGCTATTGATACAAGTTGAAGCTACTGATATAGCTCCTTGATTTTAACTTTTTCTCTTTGCTTATCTGCAAGATTTTGTGAAATCGAAGTGATTAGTTAGGTTTAAATTCTGATGTTTTTGTAACTAATTAGTATATTAAAATGTGTAGAAAACTTAATAAAGTTGAATAAAATGTAAAAAATGTTCACTGATAACTTTTTAAAAAGATTAGGAGTCTTTGTAAATAAAATCTATATAGCCTAAATTGTTATTTATCTTCTTTAGTTTTAAACTCATATGAATATATATGAGAAGGTACGCTTAAGGAGAATAGCCTAAAAGTCATCTCCTTACTTGGGAAATACTATACTATTTGGCAGAAGCAACTTGTTGCTTCTCTTTAAAATCAAGAAAGTTGTATTTAATACTTTAATATTGATATTATATATTTCTTGGGTCACTACTCCATAGGTAATTTAATTCTCCGTAATTTTATTTTATTTTCTCCTTTGATTGTGCACCTACAACTTACGGACCATCAAAAAGCTTAAAATGTTTCGAGCTATTGTTGGAAATTTTGTTTCATTTATTTATTTTCGCATTTAAAATCACCAATTGATAGCTCACTTATTTTTCTAGTTAATTCTGAACCGTGCAGGCTAGATTTATGGTTCTTTGTAAAGAGAAATTTTGTACTCAACATGCATGCTCCATTAATTAGTCTACAATCTCGATAATAAAGTGGATGTTATAAATTTATTCGGTACGGTTCGGTATTTTTTCGGTTTATTTTCATAAAATAAAAAACCTACCCTAATTATCGGTACGGTTATAAATTTATACAAAAATCTACGATTTTATTAAAAAAATCTAAAAATCGGTTCGGTACGATACGGTTCGATCGATTTAGTCGGTTTTTAAACATCCATTGACACCCCTCACTGTATGGGCGCTTTAGCACCTGTATTAGGTGATACCCTTTTTTGCTTGAGCCCGACCGGGTTGGGTCCGGTCCGGAGCAAATCGGGGCCATCGAACCCGACCTGGATGCAAGGTAGAACGACGGCCACGTCTACAACCGAGGTCGAGTCATTTCGAGACCGTTACAGAGCTCGATAGGAGTCACCACCGGATGGAGAAACACACAAGGTCGGAAGCCGGACTCGTAACGGATAACCAAGCGTCGCCGGATATCTCGCCCAAACGTGATTTTCTCAACCACTTCAGGCCATTAAGGCGTAATTACAGGGATCCACGATGTAATCAATTGACCTACCTTATTTTTACCCTTAATCAGAATGTATAAAAGGGGATCTCTCTAAATTCTTGTGGATCATCAAGCACAATTGTTCTAAGCAATATTATATTCTGCGATTATTTACTTTAACAGCAATTGTTGAGTCTTTATCTTTATTTTCCTTAACCTAAAAACCTTTTGTATCTTTTAGTTCACGGATCCTTAAAACCCCATATAAATTCAATTGTTATCCGGATTCGAGGGTAAACAGTTTGGCGCCCACCGTGGGGCTAAGGATATTGGTGAGCTCTTTGATACTCTTTCTTGACGCATCACAATACACTGGTTCTTTGCAAAAGAGTCCATCTTACATTCAAATTACCAACTCATAGAATGGCACAATCAATTAACAACGAACTTGAACAGCAGACGGGAAACAATGGAATGCCCGGGCTCGAAAACCCGATAGGTGCCGGTTCCCGGATGGCGCTCAACACTGATCAGGCCTCCGGATCATCGCATAGCGTCCGGGGAGAGGACGATTCGAGGGCCCAGGCAGTCGGCGAAGAGACTATCAACCTTAAAATGATTTTTGACATGCTGCAAGCCCAGCAATCGGCTATAGCTCAGCTCCAGAGCCGGGTCCAGGAGCCTGTCAGGTCCGGAGGAGGCT